TGTGGGTGTGTGTGTGTGTGTGTGTGTGTGTGTCTGTCTGTGTGTCTGTCTGTCTGTTTGTATGCGTGCGTGCGTGGGCGCGTACATGAATGTGTGCGTGTAAGAGACACAGACACACTCAGATCACGGGGCAGGGTCCAACATATTGATGATAGATAGATAGATAGACATTGTGAGCGCCGGGCGGGCACGGAGGTCGAAGTATGTTGGTAGATGAGAGGGTGATAATAAACGAATGAGGAGAGCGGCTGAAAGGTAGGGGAAAAGAAAAGCCAAACCGAACGAAGATCAAAGGAAACTCATCTAGGTAAGGTGCTCTGGAAGGCGGCAAGATCAAAGGAAATCTCTAACTGCTTGTCAGGAGGTGGGCTGACAGGGGGCTGCTGCCTGGTGTGTGTGTGGGGGGGAAGCGCCGAGATAGAGAGAGCTGTACTCGATTCCGCAGATTCAGACTCTAGATTGGACCCTCGCGGAAACTAAATTTATGAACGGTATGAAGTGGGTGGTTGCCAGTTTATATAGATCTATTGGGGTTTGCTTTTTAAATAAAAAAATTTTCCTATCAAACATCTACCGTCTCTACCTCCCCTCGTTCTTTTTTGTGTTTGTTACTCTCTAGTAAGACATCTAATCCTCAGCACTTGTATCATGGCCTGGTTGAATTGCATGTGCTGTAAAACTCGTACTATAACTAAAAACGAACAGTAGCTGAAGAACGTAGCTGAGGATTCGAATCATGAGTCATAATATTTCCAGACTCGTCTGGTCTTGTTTGTTTGTTTTAGTAGAGGTTTTACGGCGCTCGCAACTGCATAAGGTCATATGAGTGCCAGAAGATTCGCCTGGTCTGAGATGGAGTTGTGTGTTTCTTTGAGCTCTTGTGCTCTTCTCCTGATCTTCAACACTTCCCGCTACCCCCAAAAATAAAAGAACGCCCAGAGAGAAATAAAGAAATACTAGATAACTTTATCTTCTCCGTGCAGAAATTTGTTTTACGTTGTCATGCGCGTAGAAATATGCGAGATTCACATTAAAAAGAAAAAAAAGCTCACGTTCTAAAACATCAGTTACAGTCAGCTTCATAGTGGGCCGCAGTAAGACACGACGCACGAATCTTTGGGTGGTTATATGAAAGGCCTTGCTTGAGGAAGCAGTACCCACCCAAATAAGCGACTGTTGTCAGTGTCACCTTCAGCATTGCTTAACCTGGTTTTTAACAACACCCAGAATTCCTCGCGGTCTCTAAATCAAATAGCTTTGCAAAACGTGTTTTCCTGTCTTCTTCCCCGACACATTGTCCCTTTCAGAGTATACCGTTCTACCCCCCCCCACTCAATCTCTCTCTCTCACACACACACACACACACACACACACACACACACACACACACACATACACGCATACACACCCGTAACCCCCCTCCCCCCACACCCACCCACACACACAAACATGTATTCAGCGAGCGTTATGATAATCCCTCCATCAAACTCACCGTCCTCCTGACAACCCTCTCCCTCTGTGTCGCAACACTGATCATTGACCTTGGCCACCTCGGGTGCAAAACAGAATACTGCAAGAACCCCAAGCAATACCATAGCCACCCAGCAGGCTCCAGCTCCGTTATCCGCAGTACTGTCAGTCATTTTTAGAGGTTGATATGAATGATGTGATAATATGAAGTATAAAATCCCGAAATCACAGAAATTGCTGGAAGGAAAAAAGATAATGTTTTCACGATTTCCCCATGTATTTTAGAATAACATCAAGAGGCGAACACGAGATAAAGAAAGGTGGAACGCAATTGTTCGTGACCTATACCCTCAAACAGGGTGAGAAAGGCAGTGATGATGATGTTCATGCATCTATATTTATGGCACCTAGTACCTTTATATATTTGCGTCCTTGGTGGCACCGAATGCAACGTGTTCTTTAAATCTGACCATTGTGTTAAGGACACGTTTCACATCCTGGTCTAAATATTATAAAGACCTTGATGACCAATTCTGAACGATACGTTGATAATGCAAAAATAGAAGGCTGATGAAATCAGTTAAGTGGCTTTCTCAGTCTGCTCACACAAGGCGGGACAGAAGAGAAAAGTAGGCCAAAGCATGGTGCGCAGTGCGTTACTTCTCATTTTCAGCGCGTTATTTAATGTCATGGATGCAACAGTTGTACCGACTCTCATACTATTGCAAGTAAAATTTAAATTGTCCCTTTTTGAAGTTTCCTGGAGAGGTCTTTTGTTTTCAATTCAATGAATTTCCGTACTGAAAATACAATGCGCTTTTCAAAGTAAGTGCTGCACATGCATAGAGAACGTGAAGTTTTTTTTACTGGTTTCAATACAATCATAATGATTTGCATTCCTTTCAAAAGTATAGAGTTGCGGTACACATGTTCTGCAGGGTGGCTACGAATAAAAATCTAAATACGACAAGCGTGCATAACAGAGTAAATCTAATTCAGCCAAAGATTTTTTGGTTGTCTGGACTGTTGTTATGAAAATAGCGTTGTCGGGAAATTCAGGCGAAACTATTTGAAATGGTACTGAAGGTGAATAGAAGGCACGAATGGAGTTGGGTTTTTCGTTAAGCTAGGCCTTTTATGCGTGTGTGTCATACCCAACGCATTAATTGCTCCTTTAATAACAGTGTAGTTTGTTCGCATGATGACAGAACAACATACATAACTCATCTGAGTGTATGGATGGAAATGTAAGGGCAGTCTATCTAAACGTTCATATGACCTTATGCAGTTGCGAGCGTCGTAAAACACTGACTAAAAAATAAAAATAAAAGAGTTTGTCTACGGGTAGTCCTACGTCTCTCTTTGTACTTAATTGGTTGAAACTAAAGACTAGGGTCACTTTAGAAAACGTCTGTGCGACACAGTGGCTCTTTACGTGTCAGCCACCAGTGTCATGTTGATTTCGTGGTTTTACTTTCGACTTTTTTTTCTGGGCACTTTAATGTTTAATATGAAAAGATTCTCTTACACGCAGTGCTACTAAAATGTAAACAAATGCAGCAGGGAAATGGGAAGTGACCGTTTGTACAGGCGATTGTTTTATTTATATATATAAAATATACATAGGCCTACATGTTTGACTTTAGTGGACCAAGTACGCAGTAGTCGCACATTTAATTTCTTACAGATTTCGACACTGTAGGCCACTGGGTGACTGCACTGAACTACATGTAGGTCATATTCCCTTCTTAGCGGTCTCTTGCTTCTGTTTGCCCCGTTTTCTGCTCCCTGACACGTTTAGTCATTACTGATATTCTGTCGATGTGCCCCTCTATACTAGAACAAACGGACAACATCATAGAGTCACATGTACTTCTGTATCGGGTGACTGACTGGTGCAGGTCCTACTCTTTTTATATTCGTTTTTAAAATTTTCTGTTAAAAATTTCTATTTGTCTTTCTTTCACCACTACTAAATTATGACAGTTTTTCTTTATAATATTCGAACAAACGAATGGCACCTAAGACTTTACCTTCGCTTCAGTCAAATTTCATACACCAATCTGCAGCCCCTATTATGTTTAAAAAAAAGAATGTATAGCGAGCGCGAGCGCCTGTGTGCCTCTGTGTGTGTGTGTGTGTATGTGTGTGTGTGTGTGTGTGTGTGTGTGTGTGTGTGTGAGTGTGTGTGTGTGTGTGTTTGAGGTTGTGTATGTTGTATGTTTGTCTGCACAAGAGTGTGTGTGCGTGCATGCGTACGCTCGCATGTGTTCATGTGTTTGTAAGTTGTGGAATTCATGTGAAACCATGAAAGTTGAAAGTGCCTATAAAAAATGAAATGATCTCATTTATATTGTTTCTTGTATGTTAACTCTGTAGTCGAATTGTTGTCCCCCCCCCCCCCCTCAACCGAGCAAGCTTTGCATTTTCAACAGAGCTTGTTTGAGTATTATAACGCCCTCCTCATACAAAAGTAAACCATGCGAAAACAGGAACTCCTACTTGACTAACTTTAGCAAGAAAGTGGCGAAGGACCATAAAAACACTCCCCCGACTGCATATTGTTTTAGGTTCATAAAAAGAACCCTGACACCATGGGATATTTAATGCCCAATGAATACTGTTGACGTAAGCTCTGTCTATGCTCGGCTTTCATGGTCGAAGTCTTTAAAAGTAAGAGCTACATTATACCGTCAGTGAAAACATCTGTCGCATAAAACCCCGTCACACTTGGCACCTAATATAACAGTATGGTAGATACAAAAATGCACACAAATATGTTATAGAAACAAACAAACAATAATATTACAAACTCACCAGCCGGCATGTCGTGTTTCGGTGGGTTGAGTTATTCTTTGAATGATCAGCTGTTTAAGTGCTTGAACCGGGCGATTTTACACGCTACGTTGTGCTGCTCAGCAGTTTATATAGATCTATTGGGACTCGCTCTCTAACGAAACCCGGAGAAGATACGTTCACTGGTGACGCACACGACACGAGCTAGCCTGGGGAGCAAACTGACCACCACGAGCCAATGCTCAAGTTTTAATATTGTTTCAGACCTGGTTGGGACATAAATTGACCTTACGACTTTATTGCCTCTTCCTTTTCTGTTGCAGCATTTCTATCCGTGGTCCAAATGGCTGGAAACCGCCTCGTAACGTTAGACGAGTCATGGAATTTCCCCGTCCCTTCAGCGCTACTGTTTCGTGTTGTCGGCTGGTGTGCCGGTGGACGAAAAATTCCGCAGATCATGTTTGCATTGTTGGATCAATAACGCTGACTCAATCAAACCCTTGAGTACATCTTCTGCTGCGTTTAAATTCTAGTATGTTAGCTTAGAAGATTGGAACAGCAGTTTACAACGGTCAATTGGAACAATCAAAGAGACGGGGAATGTACATGTAAACATATGGCTGTGTTTTATTTGTTGACATTGTGAGACATTTCAGTCAGCTGTGTGAGGGTCAAGGTCGGGGGAGGGTCATTACGTCACTATGAAAGAGACCTGTAATACCCCGGGGGGG